CAACAATCGCCTTACCTCAGCCCTTAAAAACAACCGTGCCCACGACCAGCTGCCGGCTCCTGAGCTGGCTTAGCTCTCGGCTTCAACCCATTTTGCCCACCAACTGCTCGAGTCCTGAGACCCGATTCGGACCAAGACGCTAGAGCAGCTGGACGCCGGATCGCCTAGATGCGTCGCGGACTCGATCGCGGGCTCACCTGACCACTCGTGCACTGGGGCGTACGCTCACCTGGATCATATTCGGAGTCCGGCGCGGGCTCACCTGGCCCGGCGCGGATCCGCGCGCAGCCACACCGGAGGCGGACCTCCTGCCTGCAGGGCTGCGGCCGCTCCGGAGGAGGCTCTGCGCTGCTGCAGCCCTGCACGCCGGGCTGAGCCTTCAGCAGGGAGTTCCAGCCAAGTTAGCTCTTGTGCCCAGAAAGAACGACTGCTGAGGATATGGATCCTCTATTTTGCCGGGTCTTCGCGCTCGGAGAGATCCCTCTAGTCAATTTCGCTCCGCAAGCTGACGGAGGTCTGCGCGCTCTTCCCTTCCTTTGCCTTTGGTTAGGGAATTAGCCGCGAGATGCGGGGACCCATCAGAAACAGAAAACTACTTTTCCCCCCTGCTGGTGACTGTGAGGAACTGCATTTAGTAGAACAAAACCAACAGTGCTGAAGGTTTCCTACCCGCCTAGAAGCTAAGTGGGGTCCTTTCCTCCCACTATATCAAAAGTTTTGTAAACTTTACTGTTTTTTCATTTCATTTTTGTCGGGGTACAGTTTACTAAGGTTGAAAACTAAGCCCCCACTCCTGACCCAGCAGGAGGCTGGAATCGATAAGGGAATGGATAAGGCTGCCTTGGGACAAGGCCCTGAAGCTGACCACTATGATCAAAAAAACCAGCCCCATCTCCAGGAGTGCAGAAGCGAAGGACAGAACATGTTTCTGTGTCAAAGACCAGCACCAGAGACCAGATATTCCAGCAGATAACTGGTGCAAACTGGCCCCCAAGTTAGAAGAGAACATAAAAGAGAGCCTCAAATTCTTCTTAGGGTGCAGACTTTTCCTGGCTCACCTGCTGCTTCTCTTAGTATGTATTTCTACCAACTCACCTGTTCTGTTCTCCACTTTGTCTCTGATGAAGTCTTTTACCCCCGCTCCCCTGGTCTCACCCAGATCTGCTCCCCACAACAAATATCATTTGTAATAAATTGGCACTCTAGTGAATAAATCACCTTCCTGAGTCCTATGAGCTACCATAGCAAATTAATTGAAGAGGCTAAAGGGTTCCTGGGAACATGTGCTTCCTGCTGGCATCTGAAGAGGAGAGTGATCTTAAGAGACTTAGGCCCTTAACCTGTTTAATATAATACTATCTCAGAGCAGACAGTGTAAAAGTTTAGTTGCTTTTGGTGAATTTCTACTTTGTCTGTAGAGTCCTCCACACACACACATGGAAATTGGGTCTAGGAACCCACTACCGGAGGAATACAAGGAGAGAATGAACCCCAAACTCTCTGTTGTTTTAGTTTTCTATAGCTAATTAGCATAAGTTTAGAGGATTAAAACAACAACGGTTTGTTGTCTCACAGTTCTGGAGGTCAGAGTCCTGTACAGGTCTCATTTGGACCAAAATCAACATGTTGACAAGCTGTAGAGGAGAATCCACTTCATGCTCATTCAGGTTGTTGAGTCGTACAACATTCCCTCAGTTGTACAAATGAGTTTCCTGCTTTCCTGTTGGCTAGTAGCTCAGAGTCATTGCCAGCTACTGCTGCATTCCTTAAATTGACACTTTCTTCCTCCATCTACAAAGCCCACAATTTGGGGTTGAATCTCTTGCACGTTTCCAATCCATCCTTCTGTTTCATCTTTCTGATCCAATACAGAATGATTCATAGAGCACTCCCAAATTATCCAGGATAATTTTTTTCATTTTAAGGTCAGTAAGCTTAATCACATCTGCAAAATCCCTCCTGCCATGTTAAGCAATATATTCACAGGTTCTGAGGGTTAGGACATGAACATCTTCAGGGGGCTCAAGAAAATGGAGAGAAGAAAAAAAAGCTGAAGAATGCCATACACTCTCCCCATCTACTAGTATTTACCTCTGACACACCTTAATAGCAATTTTTTACGTTAAAAGCATTCCATTAATATTTAACCAACTACATTAAATATAAATATACTAGACATGCCAATTAAATTACAGAGATTGTCAGACTGGATTAAAATCAAAACAAAGACCCTACTGTACACTATCTACAAAAAAAAATGGACTTTAACTACAAAGACACAAATAGGTTGAAAGTAAAAGGTAAAAAGAAATCACCACGCAAAGAGAAAGATGAGCAAATCTGAAGTAGCCAAAAGGCATAATAAAATATTTTCAATATCACTAATCATAAGAGAAATGCAAACCAAAACCACAATAATATATCATCTCACATCTATTCAAATAATCATTACTTTAAAAAAATAGCAAGTTTTGGTGAAGATATGGAGAAACTGAAACCCTTGTGCACTACTGGTGGGACTATAAAATGACCCAACCACTATGGAAAACTCAGCTAATTAGAAATAAAACTCAAGGTGACTCATTAACTAAAAATAGAACTCCCTAATCGTTCAGCAATCCCACTTCTAGGTATAGATCCAAAAGAATTCAAAGCAGGGCCTCCCCGGTGACACAGCGGTTGAGCACTGGGTTGCCAAGCTGCCCACAGCCTCTGCAGTGCCGGTTCGATCCCCGGCTGCTCCCCGGCCACCAGTGGAGGGTCCCACATGGCACGCAGACCTCTCCTGCCACCCGCTGCTCCCCTCAGCAGTGTGCTTCGGTCCTTCTGCCTGCTCTGCTCCCCGCTCTGGCTCTGGTGAATTTTCTCACCCTCCCGCGCTTCTGACTGTACCCAATGCTTGTATAAATAAATAAATAAATAAATCTTTAAAAAAAAAAAAAAAGAATTCAAAGCAGAATCTTAGAGAGATATTTACACATCCATGTCCTTTACAGCATTATTTAAAGTAGACAAGAGTGTAGCCAATCACACACAAAAAAAAACCACTGTATGATTCCACTATCTAAAGTAGTCAAAATCATAGAAACAAAAAGAGGAAAAGTAGTTTCCAAGGGCTTTGGAGAGTGAGGAGGTGAAATTAGTGTTTAATGGATATAGAGTTTCAGTTTTACAAGATGAAATACCTCTAGAGATCTATAGAACAAAATTATGAGTATACTTATCACCACTAAATTGTACACTTAAAAATGGTTAAGTTTTTAAATTTACCATTTTGTGTTTTTTAACCACATCAAAAAGTTTGAAGAGACATAAAGAGGGGAATTTAAAGACCAAAGGGTCAATACGTTGAGACAACATAACAATTACACACATTTATGCACTAATATCAGAGCTCTGAAGTGCCTTAAGTAAGACTAACAGATCTGAAGAGAAAATAAGTAAATCCACAAAGTGAAAGATTTTAAGATGCTGCTTTTGATAATCCATAGACAACTAAACACAGAAATCAGAAAATATCTAGAAATATCTAAAAAAAAAAAAACCCTCTGTATTTCAAGAGCTTGTGAACAATGGTCAAATCCAATGAATAAAGTTTTCTTGGAAAACAATCTCATGCAATTGTTTATGCATTGTCTATGGCTGTTTTCATAGAATTCATTTTTTTTAAAGATTTATTTATTTATGCATACAAGAACTGGGGTAGAGGCCAGAGGTGCAGAGGGTGAGAGGATTCACTGGAGACAGAGTTGGAAACAGAACAGGGGGACTGACTGAAATACACTGATGAGGGGAGCAGTGGATGAGACAGGAGAGGTCTGCTGTGCCATGTGGGTCAGCTCCCTGTCCGGCTGGTGTAGAACTCAGTGCTGCAGTGGCTGCCAATAGTGTCATAGTGCTGAGACTTAACCCTTAGCGCCACCAGGGAGGCCCTGTTTTCATGGAATTTAGATGCAACAGAGACCATATGCCTTGCAAAGCCTAAAATATCTACTACCTGGCCCTTTAGGAAGTTAGCTAATTTTCTACTCATTTCAAAAGTATTCATGATTGCTTTGAAGCATTTGTCTAAAGCTGCTTTAAAGCCTGTGTCCTAAAATTTCAATATCTGGCAATCTCAGTATTGATGTCTGCTGATGGTTTTTTCCCCATGTGTTTGAGATTTTCCTGGATTTTCATAAGCCAAGTAATTTTGGGTTGTTGCCTAGAAAATTTAAATATTATGTAATGAGACTCTAGGTCTTGTTTAAATCCTTTGGAGAATGTATATATTTTTGTTTTAGGCAATAGACTTAGGATCAGGCTATAAGTTCAACCCACCATCTATGGGCTGAGGCTCAAATATAAATTCATTTTTCAAACCCCTTGTAGTGCTCTTTGGATAGACCCTTTTGAATATGTACCATTCAGTGGTCTTCTGGGAACTGATCAATGATCTGTTAGTCAGGCTCTCAGGCTGGTGTACTGATCAGATCCAGGCATGTATAACTTAGGGGTGAGCCCAGAAGTTCATATAGAATGTACTTCATGGGGCTTCCCATAAAGGTAAGCATGAGCTCCTTTCTCTCACAATCTGCTGAATACTTTCTAGTCCCCTCTAAGTGCCCTCTTTTGTCCTAAGGCTAGAAAGCTGACACCAGAAAGTTGCTTCATCATTGTGCATTTCTGTGACTGCTCCATCTTTGACCAAGCAGGAAAAGATAGAAAAAGAGGGAAGGGAAGCAATAAGGTTATCTCATTGGAGAAATGGAGAGGAATGTACTTCCCCGGAGTTTTGGCTTCTTTTGGCTCCTGTTGTGGCTTTTGCCGTTGCCACTACAGAATGGGTTGTGGTCTTGGGTTCAAGAAAGTAGAGAGAAAGGGAAAAAAAACAGCCCAAGAATCTCACATACTCTCGCTGGATGTTAGGAGTTTCTTGCTACTCAGCCAGAACTATAAGGTTTCCCCTCCTCTCTATACATATCCCAGTGATAGGAAGGCAACAAAAATGGCACACTCACCTCTAGTTCATGGAAATGTTAAGTCTTCTTATTCAATCAGTCACTATTGGCTTTTCAGCCTTCTTATAGGTGTTGTATGCATTCTGCCCAGGTATTACAGTGACATTCAGTGGGAAAGACAGGATGGAGGTGCTTACTTCATCCTTACCTGGAACAAGAATCTTAATATCAAAAACTAGAGAGGGTATTATCACAGCATATCTTACAGACATGAAAAAGACAAGAGATTGTTATAATTTTATGCAAACAAATTTGACAATTTAGGTGAAATAGACAATTTACTTTAAAATGTAACATACCAAAACCAACACAAAAAGAAATGGAAGTTCTGGTGGCGCAGGCGGTTGAGCTCAGTGCTGTGAAGCTGTCTGCAGCCTCTGTGGTATGGGTTCGATCCCAGCTGGCTGTCAAGAATCTCAGATGGCACAGCAGACCTCTCCTGTCTTGCCCACAATACCATGGTTATCCAGAAAAGTTAATAATAACTCCTCAATATTAGCAAATATCTGGTTATCTCATAAATATCTTAAATAGTTGAGTTTCTACAATTTGTTTAAATCAGAGTCCAATTAAAGTCCATATTTTCAAATGGGTGATAAGTCTTAAGTTCATTTTTATCAAGAAGTTATACCTCCCTTTCTCTTGCTTTTGCTTACAATTTGTTGAAGCAAATTGCCTTTCTATAATTTTTATTTTTAAAAATTATATTATTTTAGTTGAGGTACCACTGATACACAAAACTATATATGATTTATGGGTATAGTCTCACACCTCTTCAGATGGATGTTCACATAACATAGGACCATGGGCTCCTCCATTTGCTCCCCGCCCACCCTCCTGCTCTGAGAGTCTCAGTTCCACAGATTTCTAGATTTTGTCTTGCTTTTATTTTGCCTGTTTTTTGCTTTGTTTCTTTACATTCCACTTAGGAGTGAGACTGTCAGCATTTGTCTCACTTCTTCTCATTTATTTTCTTAGCATTATCCCCTCCAGTTCCATCTATTACAAAGGGCCAGGGAAATCAGGTATTTTTAGTGTAGTTTCACACAGTCCAGATTTTCCTAAACTGCATCCCTGGATTCCCCCTTCCTCTGTATTTTCATTTGCTATTTGGAATCAGAGCTCTGATCAGGTTTAGGTTTTATTTTATTGGCAAGACTACCTCATAAGTAGCGTGTCTTTCATCAAGAGACACATGTATGTCTGGTTGCCTCTTGTGGTGTTGGCAGCTCTGGGTGCGTAGTTAGATCCATTCAATTAGGGTCACAAAATGGTGATATTCTGGTTCTGTCATTTCTTCTTCATTTATTAGTTGGAATAGTTCTACAGCAACATATTTCTTCTCCTTCACTAGACAACCCCTATACAGTATAGGAGACAGAGGATAAAAGGTTAATTTCTTTTACTTGTCAACTTTCAAAATAATGGTGGATTCATTAGCATCCTTTATGATAGGACCATTAGGTAATTTTTAAGAGTATCACTATTAACACATGGATTTAAACCCACTCATTTCAGGATGAAGATAAGTTGTAAGTCACAAACTTTACCACTGCTCTAATACAGGCTCTATGGTTTCCCTACAACTGGCCCTGTTTACATCAACTTCACATTGAGGCACCTATGACAAATTTTTACAAGTCAACCAACAATTATGAAGTGTCCGCTATCTGTAGTGCCCTAGACACTTCTAAAAACACTGTCTTGTCTAATCTTAGAACAAAGCTCTTTTTTATTTTTAAAGATTTGTTTATTTATGCATACAAGAGCTGGAGTACAGGCCAGAGATGCAGGGGTAGGAGGGTGAAAGGATTCACCAGAGACAGAGTGGGGAACAGAACAGATGCATCTACTGACATACACTGCTGAGGGGAGCAGCGGGCAAGACAGAAGAGGTCTGCTGCACCATGTGGGTTGCTCCTTGGCCGGCCGGGGATCGAACTCGTGGTGCAGAGGCTTTGGGTTGCTTCACAGTGCAGTGCTTAACCCCTTGCGCCACCAGGAAGGCTCCCAAAGCTCTTTTTTGAATAACCATTAGTCTTAATAGGGAAGATGAGCTTAGAAAACCACACTAGTCTATCCAGGTCTTGCCTGCGGCAAGTCTAATCTGGAGGGCCATGTGGGTTGAGGAATTGAAAACAGGTTTATGACTGAGGAAACCAGCAGGAGAAAGAGACGGCAGACCACTCGGTTCCTGCCCTTGACTCCCAAGGCGACGGCAAGTCGGCCAGCTCAGCCTAGGATCCCGCGTGCGCTTGATCTGCGACCCGCCCTAAGCGACCTGCCTGGGGCGCGGCCTGGGGCGAAGAACGTTCGCCGGCTTAGCGGATTCCACGCGAAGGAAGCCGGAACCCTTCAGCCGACAGCATGAGTTTCCGGAGGGAGGTTGAATCCGACGCTAAAGTCAGCCACGCCGGGAAGCCGGCGGATTCCACGCGAAGGAAACCGGAACCCTTCTGCCGAAGGCACGAGTTTCCGGAGGGAGGTCGAATCCGACGCTAAAGTCGGCCACGCTGGGAAGCCGGCTTCCGGAATGTCATTTTCTTTCTCGGGCCAAGCGGCTCCCAGGTGCTGTCGGCGGCGGCGGCGGCAATGAGGCAGAAGCACTACCTTGAGGCTGCAGCGCGGAAACTACAAGACAGATGCCCGGGCCAGGCCCGCTATCTCCTGTAAGAGGACGGCAAGAGAGGCGGGGGTGTGGGGAGCGGCAGGAGGCATTCCCTTGTCCTCACGAGTCCCTCTTCTCTTTTACAGGTGGGCCTACAGTTCGTCACACGGTAGGAAGAACACCCGTCAGTGTTGGTCTTGCTCCCCTCGCCCGATCCTTTCAATCCTCACCTCGCGCAGAATGATCCGGGAGAGAAATCTCACTCACTGATAAACACCCTCCTCGAGCCCTTCAGCTTTCTCAGTTTCGTGGAATATCCAGTCTCTAATGTGCTTCACTGTGCCTCTTAGGGGCATTTGACACATTGATTCGTTTACTCTAGTTTGCCCATTTCTTTGACGTTCAGGTCATCCCATAATTGATCTCTTACCTCTTTAGCCAGTACTTCTCAGTCTGTTTGCTGGTTCCTCTTTATTTTCCCAACCTCTAAATGTTGGATTGTCCCAGGATTCAGTCCTTTTGATCTCTCTTCTAGCTACTTCCTTGGTCATAATTTTATATCCAGTCTGTTGGCTTTTAAATTCTGTAGACTAAGCACTTCCAAATGTACATCCTCACCCCAGACCTTTCCCATGAATTCTAGACTGATCCAGAGATGCCTTCTTGACAGCTTCCTTCCAGTGGCTGAGGCCCAAACCTGAGCATTACCCCAGCAGTTCTTTCCATTTCAGTAAATGGAAATTATAATTATTCAGCCCACCCTAAAAAAAATCTTCCTAACAGCATTCCTTCCCAAGTCAATTTTAAAGGCAAATTGTATTATTGCCTTTACTTTTTTCACATTTTACCACGGGCCCAAGGATTACTCTCCTGGATTCCTGCTAACTGCCTCTCTTTGTACAGTTCATTTCAAATTAGCATCCAAAGTGAGCCTAGTAAAAAGCTAAGCTAGATCATATCATCATGTCACAGTATAAATGAAAATTTTTTTTGAAAAGTATTTGTTTATTGTGGTGGCATATCTTGTGTGCTATTTGATAGGCAAAAAAATTTTCAGAAGCAACATTAAAAACCTGTTTTTGAAATCATATTCTTTAAAACTTATTACAAAACCCCTTTACTGCCATGATATAATGGCATGAAGATATAATATTTACTGTATATTAGGTAAGCTCTATTAGCCTTTTTTTTTTTTTAATTGAGGTAACACTGGTTTGGGACATTTGTGTACTAGAGATATAGGATCTCCCCCCACCCCCACACTCAGGTGTTACCATACTGCCCTCACCACCCAAGTACCCATAGTCCACCACCATAATTCCTTGTGCTTCCTCCTCATTTTGTTTGCCCTTCTCTACCCCTCTGGTAGGCTCAGCTCTATAGTCAGATAATCTAGGGTTTGTTATTAGTTGACTTTTATCTGACTTTTGTTTATCTGTATTCCACATATAAGTGATACCATTTGGTATTTGTTCTAACTTATTTCACTTAGCATAATCCTCTCCAGTTCCATCCATATTGTCACAAATGCTAAGTTTTATTTTTAATAGCTGACTAGTATTCCATTGTATATATACACCATATGTTCTTGATCTACTCATCTGTTTTGGGGCATTTTGGTTGTTTCCATAGCTTGGCTATTATAAATAGTGCTGCATTGAACATGGGAATGCATGTTTCACTTTGAATCAGTGCTTTTGTATTGTTGGTTAAATACCTAGGCGTGGGTCAAATAGTTGATCCATTTTTAATATTTTGAGAAACCTCCATATTGTTTTCCATTGGGGCTAGATCAGTCTACATTCCCTCCCCAACAGTGTACGAGGGTTCCTTTTTCTCCACACCCTTGTCAGCACATTTTGGGTATTTTTGATAGGAGTCATTCTCACTAGAGGGAAGTGGTACCTTATTGTGATTTTGATTTATATTTCCCATATAAGTGTTGTTGAACACTTTGTTGTGTGCCTGTTGGCCATTTGTATCTTATTTGGAGAGGTGCTTATTTAGCTCTTCTGCCCTTTTTTTTGTTTGTTGTTAAAAGTGAAAATCTTTTAAAAGGACAAGGTCCTACATCATTACCTCTCTAACCTGCTTTCCCATTTGCTCACTTAACTCCAACCACACTCGGCCTCCTTGCCATATTAAATAATATGCTTTTTAAATTATAGTATTAAATTATAGTATTTAAATTATAGTATTAAATATACTGTATCTCCAGCACCCAGAACAGTGCCTGGCACTTAACAGTAAATACTAATCTTACAATTGGCATAGCTTACAAGCATCTTTTTATAGTGTTGGTATATCCTTAGCACGTTACTCACCAATATTCATTGACCAAACGATGATGTAGCCACCTTCTTCTTATGCTGCATTGCCTTCACACCCTCACCTTTCCTTTGAATAGCCATGTTTTCTTTTTCACTATATTTATACCTTTAGCAATAATGGATGTTATATCCATATAGATAGAATTTATAATCATCTACCATCATCTTTATCAGACCTCCTCTTCGAAGAATCTCTGACTTATCCATGCAAAATTTAATAATTTCCAGGGCATCCTAATCATTTTATTGTTTTGTCAATCTTCATTTACTTAGGACTTCTCAAGACTTGAATTCCTAGAAAATAGCAACTTTTTCCCTACTTTATTTGTCTCCACAGTCTGTCATGATAGTGGTCAGTAAATGTTTTTTTGATTGTATAAAGGGCAAGTCTGCTGTCCTGTTAACCTTGTGCTAAGTTACCTGCAGACAAAACCAAAGATAAACCATAAAACTACAATTTTTTTAAAGTCACAGTATTATGTGATTATATTGTGATAAATGCTTGTAAAATTGGTGAGACATATTAGCCTTTTTTTTTTTTGTTTTAACACTTACCAGCAATGAGCCATGAGCAAAGAGTGGGGACTTGTCTATCTATTGATAAATGGAGCAACTACATGGAATTTTAGTGTTTTGCAAAATAAATTGCTGCAAATTTATCTTTTGGTAAATGCTTACATTTTGAATTTTCTTAAGGAGAATCTATATCTGCTCATATTAAATAATATATTTTTTCATACTCATTGACAGTTTGAGTTAACAAAATATTTTGTTTGCTAAATCATGAGTTTCATTTGTGTAATTTTAGATGACAAAAGCACTTTTGAAGAGACATGTCCATACTGTTTCCAGTTGCTGGTTCTGGATAACTCTAGAGTGCGCCTCAAACCCAAGTCCAAATTGACACCCAAAATACAGAAACTTCTTAACCGAGAAGCAAGTAATTATACACTCAGTTTTAAAGAAGCAAAAATTGTGAAAAAATACCAAGATTCCAAAAGTGTGCTGGTAAGATTTTAATTCCAGTATGTAAACCAGAATTTTCTTTCACTTAAAATGAAGTTAAAGTCAGCTTAAATGTAGCTCAGTTTTGTAGTTATATACTTAGATTATCAAAATATACATGTGAATATTTTTATGATTACTGTTTCAAGAGTACAGCTTTTTCTCTTATTGTTCACAATTACCTAAAACCAAGTATCATTTATTCTCAGTTGTTCTCAGATCTCATTGTTGAGCACAATTATTTTCACAAAATTTCAGGATTTCATGAGCTGACTGATGTGACTTCACCTGAACTGCAGTTACCACTAAATTACCAGTTTAGGTAATGGTCCTTCAAATAGCACTGCCTAATGCTTTATTAGTGTCTGATGGCAATGTCACTTCTTCATAGCATATCACTTTCCTGTTCATATCAGAGTATATATTTATATTTATGCTCAGCAAAGATAAGTGCATCTTATGTTCATTCATATTGACCAAAGGTCTATCTTATGCTTAAAAAAGCCATAAGTACTACGGATATAAAAGAAATCAAATCAAATTATTTATGGTTTATTAGATGAAAACCAGTATCAGAGACATTTTATGTGCATGTTCCAAATTAACATCAGCTTTTGGAATGCCAGTTTACTGCCAAGCACACACACAGCTGGCCTAAGACTACAATTAATAACTTGTGTTGAAACTGCCATGTTTAGGCTTTACCAATACTATATTGGTAAGGGTAGTTTGCTTTGTCATAATATTGAATTTAATATGTGTTTAGCATATTTTCAAAAAATATCAAGCAACTTATATAGACCTTTGATATACACAGATCATTCATTTGAATTTTCACCAGTGTGTGAACATTCGGAGTACTTCTCAGCTAAACAACTTTGTTTTAATTTTGTAAAGCCTGGGCTGAATTCTGTACATTGAGAGTCAGATATGTAGAAGAAAGGCATGTGGCTAGAAAATGAACCGTTACTTGAAAAATGAATCCTGAAAAGAAAAAAAACAGAACTAATGAAGTGAAACATGCAAATTCACTTGGCTTTATAAACTATGATTCTAGATCTATGTTTACATAATCACTAAGGACTTGAAGGGGCCACTTAAATTATCAGTGATATTTTGCCATGTATTATTGGGAAGAGACTTGGAGTTAGTTTTCAAAAAATGGTTAAATGTCTACTGCTGTTGTAAAGAACATTGGGTGTTAAAGGGCATCATTCCCAGGCTCGCTCTTCTCCTCAGACACCGTTCCCATGGAGAGAGTAGAGACTTGTTATCTTTAAAATGTGTTAAGTTAAGGGCCTCCCCTGGTGGCACAGCCCTCAGCAGTGTATTTTGTGAGTTTGCCTGTTCTGTTCCCTGCTCTGGCTCTGGTGAATTCTCTCACCCTCCTGCCCTTCTGACTGTACCCATTGCTTGTATAAATAAATAAATCTTTAAAAAAAAAAAGTCTTAAGTTAAATGCAAATGTTTAGCCATTGTCTTTGAGATATAATTGACATATAGCATTACCTTAGTTTCAAATATACAATATAATGTTCAATATTTGTATATTTTATGAAATAACAATATGTCTAGTTAACATCTGAGAGCATTAATTTTTTACTTAAGATTTTCTCATTTCAAATTTGTGTCTTGTCTGATTCCTCCTACTAGATCACAAGCTCTACAAAGGCAACCTTTGTTACCTTGTACCTCACATAGAAGAATATAATAAACATGTGGCTTGTTGGATTAACATATAGAGAAATCAGGCCCAGTGTTTTTTTCTTTTTATGACAGATGATTACTTGTAAAACATGCAACAGAACAGTTAAACATCATGGTAAAAGTAGAAGCTTTCTATCAGCATTACGGAACAATTCTACTACTCCAAGTAAACTCAGCCTAAAGACACCGGAGAGGAAGACTCGAAGTTCTGCAAACCTAAATCCTGATGTGTCTGGTTCCAAAGGCAAGAGCCCAGCGATTTTCAGGTATTTTATTCACTAAACTCATTTGAATTGCTGGTGTTCACTCTTGAATATTTCTTTTAATTTTCTCTGTTAATATACACCCCCTAAATTTGCCATGCAATTCAGTCTTGGCCTCCTTTTTTCCTCCATATCCTTTTCATCTGTAATGTCATATACTCCCTATCTTCAATTCTCATCTCTGTATATGACTTCCAGGTCTATTCCTTTACTTCCAACCTCTTCCGGGCCTGTTCCCACCTGCCTATTAAACATGTTTTACTTCACCACAATATGTATCTCCTTAGCTGACCACTCAAACCTGCCCATCCTCCTAAGTTCCTTATTCTGGGAATGAACATGTCCTTCTAGACATTTTGACTTGAAATGATGAGAATAATTGGCAGCCTCCTCCCTTGGGCCTTGTGGAGTTAGTTGACCACTGTGAATTGCCTGAGTCCTTCTAGCCTGACAGTTTCTTTTAAGTTTTTTTTTGTTTTTGTTTTTGTGTAGAACAACTGGGGTACAGGCCAGAGGGGCAGGGGTGAGAGAACTCACCAGAGACAGAGTAGGGAACAGAACAGGCAAATTGACTGAAACACACTGCTGAGTGGTGCAGCAGGCGAGGCAGGAGAGGTCTGCTGCGCCATGTGGGTAGCTCCCTGGCCAGAGATAGAACTCATGCTGCAGTGGCTGTGGACAGCCTCATAGGTTGCATCTCAACCCCTGCACCACCAGGGAGGGTCTCTTTTCTTTAAAGATTTATTTATTTATGCATACAAGAACTGGGTACAGGCCAGAGGTGAGGGGGATTCACCAGGGACAGAGTGAGGAGTAGAACAGGCAGATCTACTGAAATACACTGCTGAGGGGAGCAGTGGGAGAGACAGGAGAGTTCTACTGTGCCATGTGGGTCACCTCCAAGGCTGAGGATTGAACGCATGCAGCAGTGGCTATGGATAGCTTCATAGTGCTGACACTCAACCCCTTGCGCCACCAAGGAGGCCCACCTGACAGTATCTTAAAGCACAGGTCTGATTAGATGCCTTTGGCACCCAGCTCTACAGCACATGGCTCAAATGCTCCAGCATCACTTTTCAGCCCTCACTATCTGGCACCAATCTGCCTGCCTGTTTTACTTTGCTTTGATTCATCCTATCACAGCAAAATTGAACCACTCAGTTTATTTTCCTGCCCTAAGCCTTTCTTCTTGCTGTTTCCTCTGAGAAATTGCCATAGAAATCTAACTGAATTAGGGATTTGTCTAATGATATTAAATTGACTTATGACTGGGCACATTGTATTTTTAATGATCTTTAATACTTTATTTGCTATGATAGTCAGTATATTTTAATTTTACAGAAACTGATTTTTTGGATATTTTCTTACCAAAAAAGAAAGTGAGCTTGAAAGTTTATCAAATGTAAATATGAAATTCAGTAAGGACTAGGTTATCTCTGCTTACTTGAGTTTTTTTTTTTTTTTTTAAACTTTTTTTTTTTTTTTTTATAGAGGCATGTTTTTATTTATTTATTTATTTGTTCGTTTGTTTCGTTTATACATGCACTGGGTACAGTCAGAAGCGCGGGAGGGTGAGAGAATTCACCAGAGCCAGAGCAGGGAGCAGAGCAGGCAGAAGGACCGAAGTACACTGCTGAGGGGAGCAGCGGGTGGCAGGAGAGGTCTGCGCACCATGTGGGACCCTCCTCTGGTGGCCGGGGAGCAGCCGGGAATCGAACCGGCGCTGCAGAGGCTGCGGGCAGCTTCGCAACCCAGCGCTCAACCGCTGCGCCACCGGGGAGGCCCTTACTTGAGTTTTTAATACTAAGTTTGATGTTTATAAATTTGGGTATTAAAATTTCAAGCCCAATTTTCCCTATTCTTGAGTCAGTTATTTTGATACTGGGTATGATGGGAATTCATCATAGAAGTCACCACTTTATTGCATAAATGTAGATAGCGGAAAGTTTGACATAATTCAATCACATTTAGACCAAACTGCTGCTTAGATACATGCAGGAATGAGAAATTTAGCATCCAAATGGGGAGTCAGAAAAGGGATCAGACTGACAAACCTCAAATAAGGGTTTTGGGAATGTAACACAATTGGAGGGAATGAAACACAGAGTGAGTCATCAATATACACATACCAGATGAGGAATCATTTTATTTGATGGATATTTTTAGAGGGCTTTCCCTGTGCCTGACACTGTTAAAAAGTACTAGAATATAAAATTAATAGTACAAAGCATCTGCCCTATGGAGCTTAGCATTCTGTTGGGGCAGATAAAATGCAATGATACCTACCTGTGTAGGTTGAGATCCTTCATATTTGAGAAAGGAAGTAGTCTTGAGTTTCAAAGAAGGACTATGCTTTTAAAGTCCTTGTTTAGAATTTTCATGAATCTTGAAGTTAGATTTAAAGGGGATTCAGATCCAATGACACTTTATCTTTACCCTTCTCTTTCACGGGTGATAGAAGCTTCCAGAACTACCTAATATTTGGGTACCTTCCAACTATTGCTTATAGCTTCTTTATTGAGTAAATCTTTAACAAAAGGAGGATTGTGCTGGGTACAACCACTGCACATATATGGCTGTAATACAAAAGAGTTGAAAACAATTCCAGTAGCTGTTATCTAGGCTAGGCAGGAAGAACACTTTCAAATTGCCATTTGTCAGTATAACCAAGTGCAGTTTTGTTTCTTTTCAGAACACTGACATCTGGACAGTCAACACCCATTTGCTCCTCAAAGAGTGCCAGCAAAACAAAGAAACACTTCTCTCAACTAAAAATGTTGCTCAGTCAGAGTGAATCCCAAAAGAATCCAAAGATGGACTTTAGAAACTTCTTATCATCTCTGTAAAGGATGGACAATGAAAATAAGAAGTGCTTTATACAATTTCTGAAAATAAAGTTAAAAAAACAGCTTTTTATTTATTCTTTAAATATTTTTCTTTGGCATCCTTCAGTGTTTATGCATTAATGTATGGATTAAGCCTCTAAAAATCTCGCGTTTAACTTGTATTTCTATAAGTAAAATGAAATTTTCTTGCTTACACAAATAGGACTCTAAAAAGATGCTAAGCTTAACCAAACAGCTGAATTTTCCTGATACATCTGACTGACTCTGCATGACAGTTTCACTTAATTCAAAATTTCAGATTTGTACTTTTTCCATGGAATTCAAATGTGAAATGTAGAACTCTGAAAATCATTTTACAAAAAGGCAGTAACATAGTTTCCATTTTTATGTCATCAGCAAGTTAGAAATAATACCATATGGCTTTCAGCAATTAAAATAACTAAGCCTGTGACAGTATAATTATACTAAGGGCAAATGAGTCTTTCAGATAAGGCAGAGGATAATGGTCTGACCCCAGATTGCATTTGTTTTCTCCTTCACTCTACCCTCCTTTGAAGAATTACAAGAGATGTGCTAGACAGAGAAAGGAAACAAGAAAATAAGGAGGGACTTGCCATCGTGGAGAGAGTGGGGTTCACAAGAGTTGAAATACAGCAAATGAAAATCATTTCTTGCCTTTTCAAGGAAGGACTTTTTTTACAGTTGAATTTGTTGGAACAAGTCCTCTTACTCTCTAAATTTCCCATACATGAGGAGATCTTTACGAGGTAAAGTACTGGATGCTCGCCTAGAACAGTGGTGCATAAAACAAAGCTGGGGCGTGAATGTGCATCGGAATTACCTAGAGGGCTGATAAAATTTACATCGTTGGCCTCAGATTTCCTAATTCAGTAGATCTGGAGCCCAGGAATGTGCACTTCTGACAAGTTCTGAGCTGAAGCTAATATTGCTGGGCTATAAAACCACCAGCTTACTGGACTTTTCCTTTCTCTCAGTGAGGAGGTGGTTATTTTTCATGGAAACCTACACTTTATTATCTTACTACTGGAATTGATTCAGCTATTTAAAATCGTGAAGCAAGTTACAGACTTCAGTGTTGGTCTAGAGCACAGATTATTAAAATGTGGTCTCCAAACCCAGTGGAACCAACATCAAATTGTTAAAAATATAAACTATCAAGGCTTATCTCAGAAACACTGTCATATAATAAGCCCTCCAGGTGATCCTGATGTTCACTCAAGTTTGAGAACCACTGCCAAGCAAAAAGAATATCCTTTGGCATTTTTCTCCACTGTCCCATCACTGAATATTTCCAGTGATTTCTCTCCCAAGTTCATTCATCTCTCCCCCGCTTACTCCATATCCATTTAATTAGATTCACAAAAAATAATCTACACACTTCAAAAAGAACATAAAACTTTATTAAGAACATCTTATATTGTCATCAGATACAGCCAAAGAAAAAGGGGTAAAGAAACAGGGAAACTCATCTTCCCGTGTGCTATTGCCCCCTCACAACAGATTCATGTGTGGATGGCTGGGATTACAGTGGCAACAAAAGCTCTGTATAAATAAATGTGGTAACACAATACTTCCTTTTTTTAATACTGAGAAGAACTGGGTTTACACTAAAAAGCTTTGATATAGTGCAACATCTATGAAACAAGACTACATCTTTAGGTGCTATTAGAATTACAAAGCAGTTTAGAAGCTTTATATTACCTCAAGTACTGTAAATTTTTAGAATGGAAAATCAGGTTGTTCGAAATATCCCAATTAATTTGTACTTTTGAGTTTTTTCTTTCTAAAGATTTCTCAGACTCAGTTCAATAGCTATACTGTAAGAGATGAGAAGCTTACCTACCCTAACAAATGACAAACAAGCTTTGTTTTTAATTTTGCAAATCAAGATGTTATCCCAGTTTATGCTGATTATGAAGGAATTCTTATGGAAAACCCTACTTCAGAGTGCATGTGAGAAAAGATAACAAAATAGTTGCATCTGGACTAGTTTTCCTAGAGGGGGGAGGTTGGCTATCGAGTACAGCTGATTTTCTCAGACTCCCAAGTACCCCCATTATTTATTTATTTTTTTTTTTTACTTACTGTAATGATGGAGCAGAGGGAAGGCCAAGGAGTCTGTTCAAATTGCCACTCCAGACAGCTCTCTGCACTGTTTGTGGAAAAAAGAGTGATGGTATCCATTCAAACCACAGTACCCCTACTTTTCTCCTGAGGAGCCAAGCCAAACTACACTCAAAGATGCATGATTTGGTTCATATGAACAATGGAAAAACTCATGATTTATAATTTGGTATTATCTTGCCTCCGCATAACCCCATTTCTTCAGAAAAGATAGTCTACCTTTTAGAAAGGAAGACTATTTACTGCTAAGGCTTATCACGTTAACTATCATAAACAAGGCTGAAAACTAAGCCAGATGCTATCATTCATGTTTACAATTGGTGAATTAAGCAACAACAGGGTTTGTGAAGAAATGGTCAAAGAATGGGATTGGGGTAGGATTCAGGTTGAGTACTATCATCACAAATCACGTCAAGCTCTTTAAAAAAATAACGCATTTTTATCATAAATATTTAGTGCAGATACTGGCATGAAAATCAGTATCTAAGTCAGAAGTCTGCCTTAAAATGGTGAAAATATTTCAATAAACTAATAGATTTTAATCTTCTCAGGACTACATATAGCTTATAAATTAGTTTTAAATGGAAAAAATATATTTAAAATGAATCAATCACTATTTTAGCAGATCATAAAGTCAAGATATTGCAAATAAGTTAACATAAAAGTTTTTGCTTTCACTTTAACATCAAAAACTTACTTGCTAGACTTTTATAATAGGCATAACCAGGTTTTCTAATTAATTGTGCACTTGTTACCCTCCCTCTCCACAATGCTCTTTTTCTTGTATTTCCTACACCTGGAGACAGGTACACAAGACAGAGACCCAATGTGTGAGTCCGGCTGCTGCACAACATTTCCTTACAGTGATGTTACAAATGCTGGTCAGGATCTAGTAGTAATTTGTCAAACATATCACAAATACATTCGTGGTTAAGTGGATTAGATTCCGAGGTGAGCTTTCTGTGGCATTCACAGGGAACTTAAGTACTGCTGTTTCTCTGAGAAAGTTGTGCCCAGAGTCCCAAAGTTAACTAAAAACTGAAATATCAGCCAAGTTTGTGTGGGGAACACTTATATGTTTCCGTTTTGGAGAGAGGTCAAACTGTTGAAAGTAATGTTTTCAGAACTATAAGCTATAACAAACATTTGCTTTCTCCTTCACATATAAATTCATTTTCACTATATCTAATGCTGAGAAAGAAAGAGTGAATCCATTAAAACTAGTGAGACATAATTGGCTTGTGGGATTTAAGAAATGTTTTATTGACTATCTAATTTGAATCTGCTTACACAACAAAAAGAAAAAGATCTAATATGTAATGAATGAGAAAAAATGTTTATCCTAACTTATTGCGTACAAATCCACAGCTTAACAATGTGATTTTAAAAGAAAGCACGAGACCATGCAACTGCTCTAACACACAGGGCTAGAAATAAAAGGTAAAAAGTACATTTGTTTTGGTAATTCTAAATATACAAATATAGTATTTACCAGATCTACCCTGTAGTATAGCACTGCTTAATTTCCAAATATACAGGCATTCAAAAACCTCAAAGAAATATTAAAAATGTTCCAGGCTATTTTACTGAACAATAACATTATGTTTTTGAGCTAACAGAGCTAAAAATACTATTTTTGGAGTTAAATGGCTAAGGAAGTAATGAAAATATTATTTTTTGTTTATTTTAATCCCACAGATGATTTTGTTAGAGATCAATTATGTTAAAAGAAGACTGATGTGATAAAGAGAAATCAGTTCCAGAATCAAAGTTGTCTTCTTGGTAGAATGTCACAATTTATAACAATTCCCAAGCATATTCATATTAATCTACTCAAATAATTCTTAACAATTTATCGAGGGGACCCCTATTTAACATTATTTATTCTACACTGGCAGTTGGAATGGAATCCCTATAGTGTTAGTGTGGATAGTTCTCTAGGCTCTGATCTACCGCTCAAAGTAACATCCATGTTTAGGGTTGTTACGCACCTCGGAGGGATAAAGAATCAAAGGCATTGAGAGGCACAGAACTGATATTTTGGTCAAGAAGGGGGAGGATTAAGTCGAAACATTTAGTCCCTTCTACAATCAAGTCCTAACTATACCATAAAAAGTCTCAACCAAATCCTGATTAGTTCTTACCCTTTCAGAATTACATACTATACAGTGATTAGATACTGAAGAAAATAAAAGAAACATGAAAATACATGAAGAAATAGAAACATGGAATTTCTCACAAGGCCCTGAATTAAAAAAAAAAATTTACAAAAGATCTTCTGAAAATAATCACTATTTGTGAGCTTATTAATACAGAGACCACCACTTTGTTTAAACTAAGTTAACTTACCAATAAAATAGTAAACAAACCAACATTTTAAACAATTTTATAAATTACTTGTCATTTTTTTGTTAGTGTCACTCTCTCAACAATATACAAAAATAACGCTACAGGACTATCCACCTAACCTGTCTCCATTTCTTGCAAAGTCCTGGGCCCTGGAAAGAGACTGGTCGTCAATCTTCACTGTAGATGTCCCCCGCAAAGGGCAGGTGCATGTGGCTGCCAGTGACATTGGGCAATCGAGATAAGTCTGGCAGGCTCTGGATCCGGGACCTGAGTTCTTTGCGCACCAGGGAAACTCTGGCTAACTTGCGCTTGTATTCCTGCAACATCAAATCACTTCCATTAGCATTGTGGGTGTTCAGAAAAGAGCTCTCTAGCTAACAAAGCTCTGCATAAAATCTGGTACTAGACTCAGTTCATGATAAATTCAAAAAAGATTATAATGTGATCTTTAGGATCAAAAGAGGGCCTTTGAAAATATACCACCAGGTAAATTCTATTATGAAAAACCACAAACTTAACTTGTTGTTTCACACCTATAAAGAGACTAACATGTTAATATACTTAACTGCAGCAGAGAAGATTTGTAGGTATCCCTGAGTTTGGGATAAGAAAAATTACCTATTTATTTTCACAAAACTAAACTGAAATGTAACATTGTTTTCAATTGTGAATCCTGGTAACAAACCACAGGAGTACTCAGTACCTGTGAGATTTTCCTCCAATAGAAACCAGTTGTTTCAATATTACATTAGTTATTTTTTATAGCAATCATGAAATACTATTTATCACTACTTTGAAAATATGGTGATAAGTTGAGGAACCCACTAAATGTTATTTAATGTGTCAATAAAAAAAGCACATATTATTGCACGCATTTTATTATTTAAGTACTATATTCTACTATAACTTGTTTCTTTGTAATGCTATGCATTTTATTTTCTACACTTAAAAGATTTAACTTGAAAAAGAGCCAAAGCCTTCATCAGACAACCAGAGATTTCCAATAGCACACAGAAGCAGACGGTTGCCCAAGATGTCAGATTGGAAAACAATCCATAATCATGTTTGGTTTTGAGAAAACAGTCCATTTTCTGTAGTGGGAATAAATCTTCTCAGGGGAAGTTTTCAGACTTCCATATGGGAAGAGAGAGGATCCTTTTATACTACATCACCTAATAAAATTTTAAGTGGGAATCCAGAAAATGGGTATTCTTCCTTCTAGAAAGACTATGACCTTTTCTCTCCCTCTAAGGCTGATCTCACAAACAAAACAGAGCAGGTGAGTGATAAGCTTTACATTGTGTAGAAAGCCTATCCACAAAGGACTCTTCTGTCATATTTCTAAACTCAAGCACATCAAAATCAACCATGATATTCTAAAGAGAATTCATATTTTTCAAGAGAACTCCAGTTCCCACTACATATCAAGTAAAGGAAAATCTCTGAAACTGGGTCCAGAGCCCACAAATTTTGTAAAAACTGCCAAAATACAAATACACAGAATTGTGAACCATTTCTCTACAGGTTTTGTGCCTAAAGTGAAATCACTAGTGAAGTTTCTTTATACAGTTGACCCTTGAACAACATAGGTCCACAAGGCTTTTTTCTATCCACGCATTCTGAAGGCCATCTATAAGTTATGCATGGATATTTGACTGGGAGCTGTTATGCAAAGGTCAACTGTATTACTGAGTCTCCTCTTTCAAAGAAATATTCCTGGTAGGGAAAGGGATTTCTTAAACTTATTACAACATAATCGCTCTCAGGGAATGGGGGGAAGAAGTAATCTAGAGCATGAGGAATTAGGCACACTGTCAGAGGAAGCAGGCAAGGTTGAGAGCTAGAAAAGTTCATGGATAACTTGGGGTACATAACAGGGGTGTCAACTCTTGCCATGTATATATACATCCTGCATTTCTAATCTGTCATGAATGAAAATCAAGGTAAAGTAAAACAGAGTTTCATAGGAATCTATAATCTCAAGGGGAGATTTTCCACTTTCCTTCTCCCCTTCATCAGTGATACACACTGGAAAACCAGGTTTCAGCGTGGTAGCTCAGAGTGGTGTACAAGAGATAACCCCCAGAGCATTTTACACTCTAAGTGCATACCTCTCAGCAGGATCTCATTACACATCTCATTTTGCACTCATTTCTCCCTCAGAACATGCTGGCTTATGGGGGTAAAAACATATTTCCATCTGCTCTACTGTTCTTAGCTAAATCACTCTTGAATAATACCTAAAGCATTTTAGGGACAGCACGATATATTGGATGCTATTAAAACATGCTCAAAAGCAATTATTCTCTGTTCCTGTGGAAGCCAGATGTTTTGAGAAATGTCCCATCCTCAGTAGTCATTATTGCCCACCCTAATTTCTAGTATTCAGATAGTCTATTCTTCAATTGCTAAAAATATAAAATTTATCTTAATCCTTCGATTCAAATGAAAAAAGAGACTAGTTACAGAATGCAACAATGTTGCCAGTATTAATAAATGACAAAACTGGTAAAAGTGAACCAGGAAAGAGCAGCACACATACATGTATTTGGAAAGTTTCAAGCCTTTTCCTTGCTTTCCCAACAAGTGCATTGCATGCAGAAAATCAGTAAGGAAACACTGGCCTTAAATGACCACTGGAGCAGATGGACTTAACAGATATATACAGAACATTCCATTCAAAAGCAACAGAACACACATTCTTTTCAAGTGCACATGGAACATTCTCATATTATCTAGAATAGTTCACATGTTAGGCCACACAGTATTAATAAATTTAAGAAGACTGAAATCATATCAAGCAACCTTTGCAAATACAATGATATGAAACCAGAAATCAAGAAAAGTGGAAAATTCACAAATATGTGGAGATTAAATAACATGCTACTGAACAACCTATAGATCAAAGAAATCAAAAGAAAAATTATTTTAAGACAAATGAAAAGAAAAATACAGAAACCAAAATATGTGGGATGCACAAAAAACAGTTCTAAGACGTAAGTTCATAACAATAATGCCTATATCAAGAAACAAAAATAATCTCAAATAAGCAATCTAACATTACACCTCAAGGAACTAGAAAACAAGTAACAAAAAGCTCAAAGTAGAATTAAGGAAATAACAAAGACGAGAGGGAAAATAAATGAAATAAAGGGAAAAAAGGACAAAACAGAAAAGATAAATGGAATTGTTTCTTTGAAAATATAAACAAAGCTGACATTAGCTAAACTCACCAAAAGAAAGAGGACTCAAATAAATACAATCAGAAATGAGAGGAGACATTGCAACCGATACCACAGGATCATTAGTATTAATTCTTTGAATGTTTGTATAGAATTCACCAGTAAAACCCTCTGGTCTTGGGCTTTTGGATTTTGGGAGGTTGTTGACTATTGACTCAATTTCCTTACTAGTAATTGGTGTCTTCAGATTTTCTGTTGATAATCCAATGTTAAGAGGTTCTATGTATCTAGGAATTTGTCAGGGCAATGCAAATCAAAACTACAATGAGTTATCACCTCACACTTGTTAAAATGGCTATCATCAAACAGATAAGAAATAGCAAGAGTTGGGAGAAAAGGGAACCCTTGGTGGGAATGTACACTGGGACAGTCACTATGGAAAACCTCCAGGGTGGAGATTCCTCAAAAAATTAAAATAGAACTACCAAGTGATCCAGCAATTTGATTTCTGGTATTGATCCAAATAAAACAAAAATCACTATCGTGAAGAGATACATGTACTCCCATTTTCATTGCAGTGTTATTTATAGTAGCCAAGATAAGGAATTATACTAAGTGACCATCAATGGACAGATAAAGTGTGCTGCTTAACAATATTTTGTTAATGGCAGACCATATTTACAACAGTGGTACCAATAGGCCATAGCTTAGGTGTGTGGCAAACTATACTATGTTTGTGTAATTATTCTCTATGATGTTTGCATACTGACAAAATCACCTAGCAATCCTAGCAATGCTATCTGTGACAACACATATGGTCCTCAAGGACATTAGGCTAAATGAGGTAAAATAAAGGCAACTACTGTATGACCTCACTTATATGGGGAATCCCAGAACCAAACTCATAGATAAGAGAACAGATTGGTGGATACAGGAGGCATGGCATGGGGGATGAGCAAAATGGGTGAAAGAGGGCAAAAAGACTTAAAACTTTCACCTTTGGGGATGTACTATGTTACTAAGGTGACCACAGAATACTGTGTTGCAGGTTTGGAAGTTGCTACAAAAAAAAATCTTTTTATTTTAAAGATTTATTTATGCATACAAGAGCTGGGGTACAGGCCAGAGGTGCGGGGGGTGAGAGGATTCACCAGAGACAGAGTGGAGAACAGAACAGGCAGATTGATTGAAGTACACTGCTGAGGGGAGCAGTGGGCCAGTCAAGAGAAGTCTGCTTCGCCATGTGGGCAGCTCCCTGGCTGGCGGGGATCGAACTCGTGCTGCAGAGGCTGCGAATTGCTTCATAGTGCTGTGCTTAACCCTTTGTGCCACCAGGGGGGCCCCCGAAAAAGCTTTTTTTTCTTTTATTTTTTTTTACATTCTAAAAGGTCAGGTTTATTAGAAAAAGGAGAGAAAAAGAGATACCTGCACGGCCACAGGGAGAGCTGCTCTGCTACGAAAGATCTTAAAAGTTCTTATCTCTCTCTCTCACACACACACACACACAGACTTTCATAACTACATATGGTGACAATGTCAATTAATCTTTTTGTTAACTGATACATTTCTCAGGGTAAACAAATGTAGAATCATTCTGTAGTACACCTAAAAATAATGTTGCGTGTTAATTATACCTCAATAACAGGAACCAAGTAAAATTAACCAGAGAACCAGTTCCTGCCTCCAGAAATTCTTTCCTTTCCATCTTACCCAACTTTATCTAGCCAATATTTAAAAATTTAATAGGCCCATAAATATTGGGTCTCCCTGGTGGCGCAAGGGGTTAAGCACCACACTATGAAGCAATCTGCAGCCTCTGCAGCACGAGTTCGATCCCCCGCTGGCCAGGGAGCAACCCACATGGAGCAGCAGACCTCTCCTGACTCGCCTGCTGCTCCCCTCAGCAGTGTATTTCAGTCAGTCTGCCTATTCTGCTCCCTACTCTGTCTCTGATGAATCCTCTCACCTCCCGCATCTCTGGCCTGTACCCCAGCTCTTGTATGCATAAATAAATAAATCTAAAAAAAAATTTAAAAAAGACCATACCTATTAGGTACATACTTCAATGAGTGTGTGTGTAAAGAAGCACGTGTATGTGAATGCATACATGTGAGCAATTCATCTATGTAACAAAA